GCTGGATTATTGCAGGCTCCCAGGGCATTGGGTCACAGGGGAATGGCTGGAGAGTTTGGCTTAGTGGTGAATTTCCCATAATTTCTGTACAGAAGCAGTGTGGAATGGTAGGAAGGGGCGTGGTCAAGTGGAGCTGGTCTGGGCCATAGATTCCACTCAGAGGACGGCATGGGGAGTGAGTGGACTCTGTTGTTGCAGGCTTACCCAGCACAGGCATCCTAGCTGCTGCTGCTCTTACCTTTGGTATTGATAGCTTGAATAAGCCCTTTGCTGTCCTTCCTGACAATCACGTAATCCATATTTCTGTCTCCTGTTTCCTGTCAAGTAGCCCTCATGGAATGTTTTTTTTTTGCATTAAATGGTGAATAATTCTTACTTCTTGGCAGCAAGTAATTTAAGCCTACGCCTCCATTTTTATGGAAAGCTAATGGTGTTTGCTGCCCCATTCGCAGTCATGGAAGTTGTCCAGAGCAGGATGCTCTCAGACTCGGTTTTCTGCCTCACCCGCTCGGTTTGCCCAGCTCTTAGATTGTCAGGATTCAGTTATCCAACACAGTGAGACACATAGCCCTGCATGTCTGCTTTCTGGAGTCAGGCCACATCGATGTTCATCAGGCAGGGAGACTGCTCCCTCAAAACCTAAAAAACACTGCCACAGTTTCCAAATAGACTTTTGCACCCTGCCATATGGTGTGATCATGTCTAAGACCATATACTATGTCAAGCCTACATTTCAGGTTTTCTCTTGGAACCTTGCTTCTAGCTTACACTGGGCACTGATGAACATCTGCACGTGCTGCACCTCAGGGAGTAAGTAGGGATTTAGTGCCCATAATTAAAAAGTTCAGAAAGACTAAAGCATGTGATACGTAACACTTGTGTTGGAGTCCAGACACCTCCAGTCCTCAGATGCCGGAGTGTTTCTAAAACCATGCAGACATGGAAGGATCTGAGCATTGCCCTCTTTGACAAGGTTTTTAGTATTTGTTCACAAGTTCATAAAGTAATAATCACTGGGAGATATGAATCCATGAGCCTGGTAGAAATTAGGTAGTGGAACCTTCTTGCAGAAAACTGTTTCACAGATGGGGTGTGCTTTTTAGGATGGCTGGAACCCTGGCTCCTGAACAGAAGAGAGAAGTCCCAGGGGCTTGTCCTGAGTGCTTGCTAACTGGCCCTAACCCAGTTCGGGTGTCGGCTTTGGCAGTGCCATTTCTTCCCAGAAGTCTGAACTGTCCCAATGGGGAACACAGTTCTCCTTCCAGCCGGCTACAGCACCTGCCTGTCAGCTGTGCCGACCAAGAACAGGCCAGAACCAAGGCTTAGGAAAAGTGCTGGGAGACTGACTTCTGGGGCCACCACCACAAAATTGCCAAAACCCTCTCTCTGCCTCTGTTAAATGAGAATGCCAACTGTCCCTCCTCGGAGTTCGCTGGAAGAGCCAGCGCTTACTGTACGCACAGCAGTGTGCCAGGCTTGCCTCGACAGCAGTGCTCAGATGACAGAATGACTATTCGTTTAAGTGCACTTGCCATCGTGGTCAATAATGACAAGCTTGTCATTATTCAGTGATTTCCTTTTCATTACAGAAAGAGTCAGGTTAAACCATTAGCAGTTTGCTGCACATTGGGCTTTTATCTAAGTGATGCTTTAATGTTTTCAGAGCCTTGACCTAATTTATGTCCATTAGAGGTCACCAGTTGGCAGGGAAAGATGACCACAGCCTGCCTTCTGCATAGAGAAAGATGGTATAGGCCTCCTAGGTATTTTGTTCTGCCTCTGAGCCAGGTAGCTGAGGAAAAAGTAAAAATAAATACTTTTGACTTGTTCTTCAGCTTGGGGCGAGGGCAGACCTGAACCAGCCTCGTTTGTTGACAACCACTGGGTACAACTGTAGTCAGAGATGGCTGGCTGGACTGAGGTGATAAAAGTTCCCTGACTTGCTAGTCTTTTTGTACTTAAAATTGAAGGGTTTGTATGCATGTCTTCCAGATGGTGTTTTTTCCACAAATATATTAATCTGAGATCCCCTTGTCAAAAAGAAAAAGCCACCCAGGCTTAGTAACGATTCAGTAGCCTCGTGGGAAACTCGGAAACTTTAGCAGGACTCCGTAGCTGTGGGCTGTTTACTAAATGTGTGGGACTTGTGCATCGCAAGGACAAGTTGTTTTGTGTTTGTTCAAGACATAGGGACATCAGTGTTTTTACACTTTTGTTTGAAAGACCCGTTGCTAAAGGAAACATGGCTGCTATCGTCCTGTGTGGTCCACTCACAACAGCATTGATTTCCAAGCTATGTTTCCTGAAATATTTCTTAGTCTTAAAAGATAAAAATTAAAACACAGTGAGTTGCTCCCTCTAGCTGTCTAGCCGATGTTTCGACATTGGAAAGCCACGCCTGCCTTCAAGGCTCTGGAAGGTGAAGGTAATCGTCAGGCTTGCGGCTTTCTGATGGCCTGGGGCTTTGTTGTTTTTAAGTAAAGGAATATATAGGAAATACTACAGAAATGTTTTAAGTCTTCTTCCCCTTCTATCCCTCCGAGATCTTACAGATAAGTAATAGACTGGAGCTTCGATGATACTTTTATGATTCTAAATCCTTTTCAAGTTAAATATTTCTCCTTTTATTAAAACTATTATAAATAACTTACAAACAAAACTATTATTATTAAAACTATTAAAAATAACTTACAAATGAAAACATCACACACTGAAAATAAACTAGACCCAAAGTCTGTATGTCTCAGTGAACTTCTGTCCAACGGCTGAGGGCCTCATGGTGAACTTTTGTGTGGTTTTGGGCACGTTCTCTGAGACAGTCATTAAGTAGAGACATGCTCTCTAGGGTCTCTTCCACAGCCCCAGTTCTGCTGGGGGCAGGTGGGGAGTGCAGTTTTGTCTGTGCGGAGAACAGTAGCTCAGATGCAGTGGAGTATTTCCAGCCTGTGCCATCAAAAAGTCTAACTAGATGGCACAGACCAAATGCTCAGGTGTGCTGTGCAGCTGCCCTGTGGATGCTGCAGTCATTTGTGTGGACACATTTGAATTCTCACCTGCATGTGGTCATCAATGCTCACAGGGATGGACACAGAAGCTGAAATAAAGTATGGAAACTTCCAGCACTTAGTCAGATGTGCAGAGGGACAGGTGAAGAAGAGGTGTGTTTCCGAGGATAAGCGGCAGAACTAGTTGAGTTAGACCACACTGACAGCATGTGGATGGGTCCAGTGAGCAAGGGTGATGGTCAGGTGACTGTCAGTGTTGATGGGACGGGACGGGATGAGAAATGAACCACGTGACCAAGAAAGAGAGGAACACACACCCCTGCCTGGCTTGCAGTTCATTCCCCAACCCCGCCCACCTCTGTTCGCAGCTGCTTAGAATTCCAGAGCACTTTTTACAGGGCCTTGGAGGTCACCATCTGATAGCGTGGGACAGAACTTTGCTGTGCAGAAAGGCAGCTTAGTCAGGCCCTCAGGTGTGGAACGATGGACACAGATTGGTCTTATACATCCACTGGCTAACTTTCTAGATGTCAGTTCGGTTGCGGGTTCTAGCACAAAGCCATTGTGGACCAGCAGTTAAGCCTGACTTATCTTGACATTAGACGTTCCCGAATCACTGACTTGGCTGAATCTGCCCTACTTCTTTTTCCATCCCAGATCAGTTAGAGTTGTGTACTTCGGCACCTGCTGTTGTCTGCCCCGAGTGCTTGTGTTCCCTTACAAGCCCATGTGGAAATGTAATGTCCAGTGCAGTGAGGTCGCTGTGCAGGTCCTCTAGGAGTGCTTAGGCCACCAAGACTCCACTCTCACAAGTGAGATCAATGCCTTTAGAGATTCCGTTCGACCCCTTTGCTGTGTGAGGACCCTGGAAGCCACAGTCTGTGAGGAATAGGTCCTCACTACACGTTGGCACCTTAACCTTAAACTTTACAGTCTCCAGAGCTATGAGTAGACATTTCTGTCACATATAAATTATCCAGCCCGAGGTATTTTGTTACAATAACCCAACAGAATTTGACAATACCAGTCACAAACATGTACAACATAGACGGCCCATTTTTAACAGCACACTAACAAACGTGTGTGATGTATTTGTAATGTTTTAGCTGAACATTTGAAAAGAGATCACTTGCTTGTTTTTCTGCCACTCCACCAGAGACTGAGTGTGTATTTGATGTAAATACTGTTAGATGGTGTTAATGTTGTGTGATTTCTCACATGTGTGGACCAGGGATCTGCGCTACTAAGTCCCAGCCATGAAGAACAAACACAGCTTGCACTTCGATGCCATAACACCTCACAGTTTACCCAAGGAATTATCCTCCGAGTCCAGGACTCGGAGCATGGCAGTGGTGTCTTGTCTTCTGTGTTTGGAGTCTCCTAAAAACAGAGACATACAAAACATTTTTTTGTATGCATAGTTAAGATTGAATCACCTGAGCTATGAGGCTTTGAACCATTTAAAAATGTGAACTGGTCCAGCATAGTGCCATATCTGCCCTCTTCACACAAAACCCAGCGAGCTGGTAGCTCTGTCATGCCTCTGATAAGGTGAGAGTTAATTTAATCATTATATGCAATGTTCATGCGTAGGACAATTTGTACTTTTAATATAAAAGCTATTTATGGTCCTGTGGAGAAGCTGAAGTAAGATGTAATTGCGAAGTGAATTAAATTAGTATTCAGGCATTTCCTCTGAACTTTGCTTCATGTTTGCTGCAGAATTTTGACAAAGGAGCGAGCCTTTCCTAGATAGGCCTAACCGGTGAGCAAGGTAGACACCGTGTTTATGGCCCATGTGACCGTTTTCTTTGCAGGTGCTAGATTGGATTGAGAACCACGGAGAAGCATTTCTGAGCAAACACACAGGCGTGGGCAAATCCCTTCACCGAGCCAGAGCGTTGCAGAAACGACACGAGGACTTCGAGGAAGTCGCACAGGTACAGCAGCCCCCTGAACACATCCCGGTGGCTGGGTTGGAAGTCAGAGTTTCAGCTGAGTTTAACCTGAGGCGACTTAACCTTTGCTAGGTGTGCGAGGTTGTTATGGTGGGGTTAAATTCATTTCACAATGAGGCGATCATCACCTAGGTAGAAAACAGAGTTAGTTAACCCCCTATGAATTGTATGGTTTTGAAACAAGTTTGTCTTTGAGGATGTTTTCATATTTATTAGGCTAGTTTGTGGCTTTCACTTCAGTTGAGGAACAATAACTTCTGGAATTTCTGCAGTGACAGGCCTGGCATTCAGCTTGTTCGTTTCTAGTTGTGTTAATTGTGTGCTTGGGAAGCCAGCACCAGGAGCGGAGGGTGCTCAGAGCGCAGGACTTGTGGAGAGCAAATGAGGGAGGCTGTGATGCCGACAGGCAGTAGGCCACTGTGATCTGAAAAGTTTGCAGAAGTATCAGACATCCTAAGGGACGCTGGCTGCCTTCAACAGAAGTCATCTGAGCCAGGAGTGGGGCGTGCACGCTTTTAGGCAGGGAGATCTCTGTAAGTTTGGGACCAGGCTGATCATCTACATCATAGTGAGGTTAGCCAAGGTTGCACAGAGAGACCCTGTCTCAAACAACCCACCTTCAGACAAAAGAAGCCATCTAGGTCATACAAATCCAGATTCAGACAGATTATGGCAACTGTAGAATATCACTAAATCTTACAGGCAAGAAGTGGAAAATGTTATCCGTGAAAAGGACTTCTAGAAAGACGGTGGTTTCTTCAGCAGCCACAGATGCTGGAGTCGGGAGCTGCTGTCCTGATACCCTTGGGTTCCGCACCTGTCTGAATTGCTGTTCCTTGGGGGAATGAAGTGAGCACTGAGACTGGGATTTCCCAGTCAAGTACTTATCAGAAAACCGAAAGCATTGACTTAAGAGTATTAGTAGACTGAAGCCCGTGAGAACAGGCATGTTCTGCTCGCTTCCCTATGATGCTCACCTACAGCAGTGTCTCACATGTGTCCGTCCGGACGTTCAGCAGCTACCTGCTCGAGTGAATTGACTAAATGGGTAAAAAGTATCTAGACAAGGATGCTATCAGCAGTCAGTGAACGGATCAGTAAATACATCTGTAGATTCTGTAGATTAGAGGATTACTGTCTGAGCAAAAGGTAAATCTAGGAGGTAGTCAAGAGTCAAACCAAGCTGAAGAGCCAGCCAGTTCACTTGGACACAAAGGGCAGAAATGTGTGCTGAGCATGCTGGATGGGGCCTGAGGACAGCAAGAGGCTTTATGCAGGCTTCTGGCTGTTTTTGAATGACCACAAAATGTATAAAGCCAAAAAAACAAAATTCAACAATCATTCCAAATTTATAGCTTTGGGGAGTGGTATAGAAAACCAAGAAAATTCCTCCCAAAAGAAGGGGGAGGATCAAAAGAAAGCAAAAGAAGTGAGAACAAAATTCATGAAAAAAAATCACAAAATGTGATAGTGATTTATCCTAATATTCCACTGTGCCTATCTTCCAAACCACCACTCTAGCCCCCTTAGAGATCTTAAGTAGCAAGTTGCCTAATGCATCTTTTCTTGGGAACTTGGTGAGTCGTGGCTTGATGAAGTAGCTTGAGTGGATTAAAAAAGGAAGCAGTGAAAGTGTATGATTCAGTTCTCTGAAAATGTGCTAAATATAGGTCTATTCTGCAGAGCAATTCCTCTGTTCTAGGAAGGAGGAACCCCGAAGGAACCTCTCGAGCTTACACGGTAGAAGCGAGCCCTAGGCCCAGCCTGACTTGTTCAGGTGCCCACCTTTGATGGCAATGCCCTGGGCTTTAGTGTTTGCTTCAGATGCTGCTGTGGCCTCCTCAGGAAGCACAGGTCACTGTGGCTTACAGTTTTGCAGAACCAAGCACTTCCATGCCATGGTTGTGAAGCTCGTCTTTGTATGTTGGTTGTGAGTACATCTTTGGTGTTGAGTAAGCCTGTGCTGGCTGCTGTGCACTGTGACATGCACAGCTGTAGAGCATTTTCTCGTGCTGCTTTTTGCAGTTAAAATTGCTGCTTTGCATGTGGCTGATGGAAAGGTAGGCACTCCTTGAGCAGTGAGTGATCTTCTACTTTAAGTAGTTTTCTGAGTTTGTGTTTTTAAATTAAAAAGCTATGATTACAGCAGGTGAGTACAGCCCAGAGAAACCTTGTTCCCGCAGCTGGTTCTGAGAGCAGCAGGGGCCTGATGCTCCCCGGGTCCCTCTCTCTGAGTGCTTCAGCTCCTCCGCTCTTCAGTGTGCAGTCACCAGCTGCCCCACGCATTCTCCCCCAAACAGGTCTGTGGGTAGCTTTGTGTGTGCCACAGATACCTTGTCTTCTGGATAAGGGTCTAAGAAGTTAGCTGTCATGTACCAAAGTTCTTCCTGGATTTCAGAGGACTGACAGGTATCCCCACTGTGCTCATTGTTGGCTGAGGAAGCTGTGTCCAGGTGGACACACGACATTCCATGTTTGTAGTATGACCTGAACTACTTCGCAGATATAACAAGCTTCCACTGACTAATAAATTCAGCCTCTAAATAAGATGCTTTGTGTTTTAGTCTTTTAAAGTTAACCCTGGAGAAGTCAGGGCAGATTGTTTTTAATCGAGAGCTTCCCTCATTGTTGGAGTTGTTGTCAGTGGTGTACCAGCTGCCCAGCATGAGGTAGACCCTCAGAGAAGAAAAAGAGCGGGTTCGTGAGGCTGCTTTCCCGTTCACATTTCCTAAACTCAGTGATGGACGATTCCTTTCTGACTACGCAACCACCAGCCCTGAGCAAGTCCCTTGGTCTGAGTCCCTTTTCCCTGTGAAATAGCATTAATATCTCTCTTTACCAGGTTACTGTAAGAATACATCAGGAAGGGATGGAGAAAGGGAAGTAGGGCATCCATGTCAGAACATGTTCACAATTCCAATTCCTTTATCTGGAACATCTAGGTGATTGAAAACACCAAGTTTTCACATGATAACTAAAGTGCTTTACACTAGCTGCAACAGGACCTAACATAGATGCTGTTGCCAGTATTTATTCTCTGTGCCCTTACCATACTGAACCCCCACCTACCCTGAGAAAATAACAGGTGTCTATGGCTCATGCTAACAGATGGGGACAGTAGTTAGTGTCTTAGAGTTATATTGCTGAAATAAAACACCATGCCCAAAATCAACTTGGGGAGGACAGGGTTTATTTACCTTACATTTCCACACATGTCCTCACTGAAGGCAGGCAGGGCTAGAACCTGGAGGCAGGAGCGGATGCAAAGTTGATATTATAGAAGGGTGCTGCTACTGGCTTGTTCCCCATGGTGTGCTTAGCCTGGTTTCTATAGGACCCAGACTAGCAGGCCAGAGACGGTACAACCCCAGGTGGGCTTGGCCCTCCCCGTCAATCATCAATTAAGAAAATGCTGTTCGGTGCTCATTTTCTATTTAGAAATTTGCATTCTCATTTATGGTAACTACAGTGTCTGCCATCATTTTGGTGAGAATTGGGCCCTTGTGACTGAGAGCGGGAGGGGGAGGAGGGGGAGGAGGGGAGAGGGGGAGGAGGAGGAGGAGGAGGAGGACCACTCGTCTGCTGTGCATGTCCCAGATGCTGGCGGTTACTCAATGTAGGCTCTTTCTCAAGAAAGAGGAAATGCTCTGGGCTCCATGACCTGCCCTTAGAATGTGTCCTTCAATTCCCTGGTGGGGATGAAAGGAACAACTCAAAGAGGGATCTCTCAGGCTGAAGGAAAGAGGCCAGTCCCTTCAACTCCCTTGATGTCTGCCAGCTTTAGATCGCCTCGGGTCTCGGGTCTTTGAACAGTCACAGCTCTCCTGACTGACCTGTCACAGGGAGGTGGAAGTGAACTTGTCCCTGTCGAGTGACTGCTCAAACGCTAGTGCTGATGCTATGGATGGCTTAACGGTTACCATTCGGAACCAGTGACAGTCCTGTCCAGTTCAGTGCAGAAAGACTCAGGACGACTTTGTTGCTAGGAAGGCCCAGCTGGGGTTTCAGAAGCCAGTGCTGATGTTCCTGTCTGCGTCCTGTCCCCTTCCTGCTGTGGTTTGTTCTGAGGAAAGCCCTTACCTTCTTTGTACAACCATCATTTTCTTCGAGTGTCGGACGAGACACGAGTGGAACGGTTGTGGTGTTAGTGTCACTCCATACACACCTGTTGATCAGTATTTTTCCAGGGTCACTTATTGCTGACGGAGTCCTAGAAGGCTCTCAGCAGTTCAGTTATGCCTTCCTACTGGGGAGCGCGGTCAGCTGAAGATTCATTTATCAAACAGGAGAGGTAAATTTCTTCAAAGCTGTGATGACAATCATCAAGAAAGCAGGATTCCTTTTTTCAGAAGCGCATTTCCGGGCAGACTGAGCTGGAAACTGCACTCAGACCCCCAGCTCCCCTTGTACCTGAAGCGGCTGACTGATAAAGCTTTATTGTAATTAGTCTCCTAACTTGGAGGGCACCCATTCCCCAAACAGATCTCGATGTTGCATATCACCCAAAGGACCATTTGCTGGGAGTCTGGATCTCGTACTGACAAGTTTAGGAGGTGGGTTCTCTAAGAGTTGCTCCTGCAGCCTCCTGTGAGGTCTCTAAGTTAGTGAAAGGCGCACACTCTGCCTAGCTTCCTGTTTTAAGATGTGATCTCTTCCCGTCCTTATGATATTAGAGGCCAAACCAGTGGGGCCACCTGATCTTGAACTGTTGATCCCCAAAACTGTAAGCTAAAACTGATCTGATTTGCTCTGCAAGATGCACAGGAGCCTTGGGTGCCAGAAACAGAGTGCTGTGGTTTAGTATAGTGTAGTGTGGCCTCCCCAGAGGTTTATTTGTTGAAATAATTCCAAGAGTGATGCAGAGAAGAGCCGAGTCAGGCTGGTGTCTTAGCGTTAGATGCACCTATCTCTGGGCAGATCCCCCAAGACTGGATCCTAGTGGCTTTCTAAAGAAAAGAGGGACCGGGAGAAACATCTGTGCATGCTTATTTCTATAATGCCCTGCAGCACATCGGGACCGCTTCCAAGAAGCTCATCAGATGTAGCCCTTAGATCCTGGACTTGAGAATCATGGGCTGCGATAAAACTTCTTGTATAACTCACCTGGTCTGTGAGACTGTGTTGTTGGCAACAGAAAAGATTGAAACAGACAACTTCTCTGTCTAGTTGGAGTCTCGCTTCCCATGCTATTCCAAGCCCCCATCACCTGACTGAGCCTGCTTCTCCCTCCAGAGACGCCTTTGTCATACTTTGAGCCACCCTCCTTCCCCACTGTGCAGTGAGACCCACCTTGCTCAGCTAGCTCTCGGAGTTTGAGGAGTAGGTGAATGAGCCGATTGGTATCTCAGCAGAGCCCCAGGCTGGATTTCTGGTCCTTCCCGGAGGGCAGGCTGCTCTGATTCCACTGAGGGCCTCCAGTTAGTCTCATCTCCTCCTCTCATTGGTAATGCCGCTTTTGAGCCAGGTTATCTGCGCAGGTCAGGAACCCAGCCAGAGCCACGAGCTTATCAGGAACTGAAGAGGAGTCTTCGGAGAGCACTGCACAGGTGTTCACACTTCACGCCGGCATTTCTACTCCGATCAATTTATAGCCTCTGCAGTTCACTTTTGTTTCTGAACCTGTGTGCTGTGAAGCAGGGAAGAGAAAACACTGTTACTCTGTCATGAAAACGAGAGAGAAAAAGTGAAGCAGGCACTTGTGGCCATGGGGCATTTCCTGACTCCACCTTAGCAGAAATCTAAAAGCCCTTTCTGAGTCATGAGCCATTGTGGTCGGTGTTTAATAATCTGCTTGGCATTAGAAAGGGCTGCCGATAGGCATGTGTGGGCCTCCTGAAGTCGTTGCTAAGTGAATGATTGGAAATGCTGCTGATAGGCTCTGTGTTGCTGGGTGTCATGGCTCCCACGCGGGCTGGCTTGCTGAATGCTCACCTTCTGTTCCTCTGGGTATTCTCCTGTGCAGAACACATACACAAATGCAGACAAATTGCTAGAAGCAGCGGAGCAGCTGGCGCAGACCGGGGAATGTGACCCTGAAGAAATTTACCAGGCTGCTCATCAACTTGAAGACCGGATACAAGACTTTGTTCGACGAGTTGAACAGCGGAAGATCCTGCTGGACATGTCCGTGTCGTTCCACACCCACGTAAAAGAGGTAATGCATCACAGGTTGACTAAATATAATCTGGCCGACGGGGTCTTTGAATCTGTCGGAAGGAATCCTGTCTTTGTCATCGTGAGAGACATTGGCTGTAGCATGGCAGGTAGGCGTGAGTGCAGAGTGCACTGGGGCAGACAGGAAGCAGGCTGGACTTCTGCTGGTGCTGGACAGGAATGCACATCTGCCTTTGTTGGGGTTGTCCGTACGGGGACGGGGTAGAGGGGGCACTTGTGAGTCAGAGATGCGCGGGGACAATAAAGCAGAATGAGATTCCTTTAGAGAGGAGCAGTCCTCTTTCCATGTAACCTTATCGGGTCCTGCTTACTGTAGGCACCATTGTTGGGTGGCCCATCTGGGTGAAAGCCATAGTAGCCTTGCTCTTAGCAGACGACTCTCACACACTTACAAGTCATGTTACATTGTATTGAGTTTGAATATTGCCATAGTCGATGTGGTACAGTATCAGTACTGTTAAAGTCTGTTGTTGTTTTATGTTACTCTTTGGCTCTTTTGGGGGGCCCGCCACCCAGTTCCCAGATAAATCACATGGAGCCTTATTCTTTCGTATTAATGCCCAGTTTTAACTTGGCTTGTTTCTAGCCAGCTTTTCTTAAATTATCCTGTCTATCTTTTGCCTCTGGGCTTTTCCCTTTCTCTTTTTCTGTATACCTTTCATTATTTCTTACTCTGTGGCTTGCTGGCCCCTGATGTCCTCCTCTTTTCTTGTTCCTCCTTGATCTCTCTTGCTTTCTGATTCCTTTTTTTTTTCCTACTTACTCTGTCTGCCAGCCCTTCCTGTTCTTTTCTTGCCTTACTATTGGCCATTCATCTCTTTATTAAACCAATCAGATCTTTTAGATAAACCACAGTAACATGGCTCCACTGAGTTAAACAAATACAACATAAAAGAATGCAACATGTCTTTGCATCATTAAACAAATGTCCCACAACATAAACAAATGTAGCACACCTTAAAATAATATTCCAGAATAAAAGTCCTTGTGTGTGCCCATGGCAACATACTTATTTCAAGAGATAATGTTATGTTAAATGTGAAAAATAGATACCAAGGATACTATATATATAACATACACATTGTATATACATATAGCATAAATAATGATAGATCATGTGTGTGTGTATATATATATATCAATTAGTAGATATAAAATTAGAGAAACTATTATGTTACTTTTTGCCTCCTTTTGAAAGTAGGGTTTTACTGTACTGGCCCTGAATTCATTGTATAATGCAAGTTGACTGAATTTGCAGCAATCCTCCTGCCTCGGTCTCATGAGTGCTTCGATTCTATGACAGTGTTACTCCACCTGGTTTATTTTGTTTTAAGGGTTTTGTTAATAAACTCACGTTTTGTTTTACGTGACTAAGTGCTCCACAAAGGACCCTTTCAGAATGCTGTGATACGCTGTGACACCTCTCGGTTCTGAGGTAAACACCAGAATAGACAATGAACATAGCTAGCATCTTCTCCACTGTCAGTTACGTCACAGTCAAGACTTGAAAATACTGCAGTCTGTTTTCCCCAGGAAACATGTTCAGTGGATATTCTTCCAGGCTGCTTGTAGCTGGATGTGTGGTCCCTGTGCTGAGTTCCAGGGTCACCTGGTGCTGAGGAGGAGCTACCTCCTGCTTTTGACTCGTGTCATGTCCATGTCTAGATCCGTACAACTGGGGCTGCATCCTCCCTCGTGCTGAGGTGGTCTTGTTTACTCCTCCTCCTCCAGGGTTCCAGCCCTGCCATGTGGTATTCGCTGATCTATGACACTATCCTCCCACGCTGGGTCTTCCTGCCGCCCCTGCCCTGTCCACAGTTAGTTGCTGCTGTTGGCAGTTTTCTAGAGTTCTCTGCACACACCTATGACAGCACTGACCACGTCACTTTAGGATTCTGTGTTCTTATGTTACGTGATTTGTGTTACTCTCTTTTTACTACAATTTCACATCAAAACTGAGAGAGGAATAGGGTCAATATGACCACACAGGGTACTGCTGCTCCACGGGGGCCAAGGTGACTACTAAGCTCATTCAGGTGTCTGGGAAGGTCCCACCCAGAAGACGGCTGCTGGCTAGCTCTCTGAACATCATCAGCCTAAGGTTTTGGCCCAAGACTTGCAGATTATGAAATGCCCCTCAAATCCACTGTGATTTGTGAGGAGGTGATGCTTCAGTGGTGATCACAGCTGCTTGCCACACTTAAGACATTGGTCTCACTTGATAGGTTGAAGTCTGGTTCCTTACATGTTCCCACTACAGAGCCTCTTCCAAGACTGAGATACATCATATAGGTTTGTGAAATAATAGCATCAGTTAGGTTCAGTGCCTTGAATGATATTTTTATTTTTGAATCCATTAAAAAAACATTACTACTTTTACCCATTTCTACTTATTCAGCTTCTCTCTCAGAATTATTATTATTATTATTAATTATTTTGATTTTCGAGACAGGGCTTCTCTGAAGTTTTTGGTGCCTGTCCTGGAACTAGCTCTTGTAGACCAGGCTGGCCTGGAACTCACAGAGATCCGCCTGCCTTTGCCTCCTGAGTGCTGGGATTAAAGGCGTGTGCCACCACCGTCCGGCTCTCATAATTATTTTGTGGCTTAATTACTTTTATTTACCTTTGGCATTCATAGGTCAATTGAGGCAACTAGGTGGCAACGTCAAGCTTGCTGCCAGTTTTTTCTGAGGCTGATGCAGTGACCCTCACTGGCTTCTCTTCTCAGAATCCTTGGTCGCCAGGAAGGATCACTCCGCCCTGAACCAGGCTGCTGCAGTCCTGGGTGGGTTAAGCAAAGAAACCTGGCTGGGCTTCTGCAAAATTGTTGCTGAATTGGACACATTGTTTTGAGCAGTGCCTGGGAAAAGAGAACTTGTCATTTTATTCAGAAGTCAGAATTAATGGCTCACCCCACCCACCTGGAGACTTCTTTTTCTCAGAGTGCCCGCCTGACTTCATTTTCATTCCTAGCAAACGAACAGGTCAACTTCCTTTTTCATGCTTGCTGGAGTCAGGCCTCGGCTCTCCCAAGGAAGCAACAGTGCACTTGGGGAAAGGAAAGTCCCAGGCTCCTTGGTGTGCAGCCGAGCTCTCTGAGCTGCCTCCCTTACCCCGGCCAAGTCTCCCGAGGAGCCATGGGACTGCACCCAGTGCTTATTCCTGCATTGTTAACACCCAGAGCTCTTGCCTCCCTGTGCAGCCGGAGAACCTGTCCGGCGTCTGGTAGTTACCTGTCAGTGCTCAGTGCTTAGGAGCCAGCTGTCCTGCAGCAGTCTCCCGATCAGTGGTTCGGGTACAAAGCCTGTTCAAAGCCTCACTTGCTTCCTTCCCTGTGGCTCTCCCACAGAGGTCTTGCTTTACTTCTGTGGAAACATTCTGTAGGCCACACCCCATCACATGGTAGCTGTTTATTCAGCCTCAGCACTCATACATGCTTGTGTGTGTAGATAGCTACATGCATGTTTGTTGCAACTTCATCATATGTAGACTTACGTTAACTACCACAGCACCCAAACTGCAGTTACACAAATCATTCTACCAGAATATGGTTTTTATTTTACTTTATTTTTGAGACAGTGTTTCTCTCTAGTTTTTTTGGAGCCTGACCTAGAACTTAGCTCTTATAGAACATGCTGGCCTCAAACTCAGAGATCATCCAGGCTCTGCCTCCCAAGTGATAGGATTAAAGGCATGTGCCACCACCACCTGGCCCCAGAGCATGCTCTTGTGTCTGAATGCATATTGCTTCCCGTTCCTGCAGGAGTTGGAGGCCTGACTACCCAGGACTTTCTGGCTCTCCTTCCTCCTTATGGCTGTCCCCAGCCTCAGCAAGAACCAGCACCTCACATCCCTGTTATTCTGGGTGTTTCAGAAATGCCAGATGCATGGAGTCATGAGTGTTTGTGCTCAGCTTTCCTACCTAATTAACCCTGGAGGCACTTGGCTTCGTACACACATCAACCCCTCTTTCCCTTCAAGGCAATTGGAGTCCCTGATCACCTGGTTTCTTAGCTATGTCAGTCACGTGTCATCTCTTGTCCCTGGCTGGTCATACACCTGTCTACAGGTGTCCACACCTGGGACTGGAATGCCCATTTGTTACTCCTTCTCACGGTGGAGCTGCCATGCAGATGCCTCTGTGAGTCTCCGTCTTTCCTCCTAGCACTAGCACCCGACACTTGGCAGGGGTGGTGTTTCCTGATGCTGACCTTGGTGTTCTCTGGTCTACCTCTACCCCATGCGTCCTTTATAACGTTCTCTCAGCGTACTCGGGCATCATTTTTCCACCACACAAGAATAGGAGGTGCTTCTCAGTCCCTATAGCTCAGGCTGGGCAACAGCTCCGCCCGTGGAAGTGCCTGCTGCTCCAGCATGCGAAGCCCACCTTAGAATCCCCAGCGCTCTAGTCAAAAGCCCAAGGCCGTGGGCAGAGATAGGCATGGTTGCTGGGGCTAGCTGGCTACCAGCATGACTCTAGGCTAATGGAGAAACCCTGCTCCAGGTGAGTAAGGTAGACAGTCATGGAACAGGATGGCCAAAGGCTTCCTGCTTTTGCACACACACAGGGATATGCTTCCCCACACACAATACACACAGAAGAAAAATACACCACAATTCCTACAACAAGGCACCAAGCATGTGTGTCAACATGCAGTCAGCAAGCATATGTCAGCACACAGTCAGACATGTGTGTACAACATACAGTTGGTCACTTCTGGGAGAGGTGCTTTCTGTTGGTGGTGGGAGCGGTTCCCTTTTCAGCCTGTGCCCTCTGCATT